GATCTTATCATTGCCCTCATAAATGATAAGACGAACTTAAATGATGGTAAACATTTTAGTAATATAACACCTTCTAATGTTACTTGGTTACAATGGCAAATGACCTTACATTAGATCGCTTCCTCAGAGTCCCCATGTATGTATTTCCGGATTTTTGAGAAAATTATAGTCCAATTATGTTATGCAGTGTATTTAGAAAATGTTTTTTATTTTTCTTAGGTAATCACTAGTCTGCTTGATCTTGGCATATGTCTTTCCAGCCGCCTTGATAACACCGTCGGCTGTTGGCCTGAGCTTAGGCGGCCAATCGCCTTTGACTGGATCGCTGCTTTCCGCCTCATCCGCCTGCTCATTCGTATCGATCTAATGTGCTCCGAAAACCATTCCTCAACAAACCAGCACACTCTTGTCCCTGCCTCTATTTTCAGGATCCTCGATCGGCTAGCTGGATCAGGACTAACTGATCGCTGGCTTATGGGCTCTGGGCTTTCTGAGCGTCGCCTACTTGCTAGTGATCTGACTGATACCTTGATGCTACTTTTGCGTTCTCATTCGACTCCGGACTCTGTTACTGAGCAAGAATTGATGTTGCTCTCCGGAGCTGGCGGCATATCCAGACCCGCGTGGCTCGGGGAGCCTGGTGACCCGCCCTCCATATGTCACCTTACCGCCATTTATGCTGCTCTCTTGCCCGAATTAGCTGTGAATGCTGGGCCATTTGTCTGGGAGCAGCAGATGTCATTTCTCTTTGGACCAAAGCAGGAAAAGCATGGAAATATGCTTGGCAATGCCTGGTCTTACCTAAGGCAACTTGTGGTATGGGATTGTGCGGTGGCAGGTCTTCGGCACCATTTTGCTGGACTGGGGCCTTCTCAGGGGGGCCAAGCATTGGCTGGCTTGCACCTTGAGATTCCGAAATCCGATGTTGAGGCTTGCTTTACGCCTATTGATGAGCTTCTGACCGAATTGGACGATGAAGTGAGCTTTATTTATGTTTATTGACCATGTTCACTCTAGTCTTTACCACTTACTCTTTCGCCATCCCTTAGCTTGGCTTGATTTTAACCGCAATTTTTGACCTATTGCTTTATGTTCTCATTTCCCATTTATAACTTTTACTTCCGACTTTTTCTCTTTATCCAATCCAACCTCTTATTCCTACTATTTTGCAACTCTTCCCTATCACCAATCCTTCACTAAACTCTATATTTACCTACCAGCCTTGGCTGACCAGCCCTTCGCATCATGCCTGGCATTCCTGCCACCCAGCAAGCTTCTCGCCACCTCTTGCTCAGTTGTCCAGCACCGTAACAGGGCCTCCTGGCTGTCTGATTTGTGCTGCTGTATGGCGCCACCCAGGCGGTCGACTCGGTGCTGCCTACAACCTTGTACATGCCCGACTGACTGCCATTCGATCTTATCTCGCAATTAAACAATCGAATCTATCTGAAACCACGCTGTCAACATCATTTATTAATGATAGTCATGTTGGCTCTAGTGTCACTCTTCAGGAAGATTCTAGGGCTTACGCTCCTAGGAAGTCATTCAATCTTCAGGATCGAAGTACTCTTCAGAAATCACAAGTTCTTCAGTATATGCAGCCTTCTCACGACTCATTGCTTATATCAGAGAATAAAATCTTCCGCAAGCCACAGGAAATCACTAGCCTGTCCACCCTTACTTATTCCAGTACTTTTATGTCTCTTGAGCCCGAAATATCTGAATCCGGAGGAGCCGTACGATCTGAACGACAAGATAAGGTCAATCATGCATGCTCCATCTTAGATTCAAATATGCTTCATTGGTTGACTGAATTCCTCTTTGGCTTATCACGTCTGATGAACCTAGCCGCAAGACAGACGTGTAGGCTAGTTTCTGGACTTACTGATGCTAATTCCTGTTGCTGTTGTTGCCGTCATTTTCAGGGTTAGTTCTCATTCAGCTTTTTAAATAGAGAAGGATCGCAAACATTGAAGCTTAGATGATTCTGAAATACCATCAATTGATTTGGAATAATTTACGCTAAGATTAGTCTATGGCGAACCTTAATTTCACTTTAGGTTGATTCTAATACTCAGCTGATATGAGTAGAGCTGATGTTTTCCATTGAATTTAACCTAGCCTTGCTTTCCCAAAATGTGTTCTCATCCAGGATGGATTGAAGTTGCCATATTGCCACGAATGCCCTTGGGTCACAGGGCAGATGTGAATTTCAACATATGTCAGACATTTTCCATATCACATTCTGTGTTAGGATTGCCGATGAAGCAAACTTATATTTGCTATAGCAATCGACGGCATTACTTTTTACGTAAATGAGTAGGTTATGGTAAATGCATGACATTCCTTGAAATTAATATTGCCTTGTCGACCCTATGGCATTTATGGCAATGCGGCGTAGTGGTTAACGTGTCGAGTTTATACGCTACATTGTCATAGTTCGAATTTCGCTTGGGGTGTTGATTTGACCTATAGACCTAAGCTAGGTCGAAACTGCAGTCCACTCTGGATAAGAACATCTTTTGGGAAAGCAAGGCTATGTGAAAGTCAATGGCGAATATCAGCTCTACTCACATCATTGTGGGAAAATTCATCACCTAAAATTAAATAGGGTTAATACAACTCATCCTTTTTAGCTAAATATCTTTAAGTCTTTGGTTGAAGCATGTGATTCATTTAACGACTTTTAACCCCATTTATGAATTCATTAAGCTGGGATGAACTCAAGCTTTGGCTCCTATGCTTATTTTGTTCTAGGTTTATACTCAAATTGTTTTGGGATATACTTTGATTAATCACATCACTTTTTTTATTTGTGAGGCTTTATTTAAGGTCAGCTCATATACTTTTTGTAACCATGTCGTTTGAATTCTATTCCTAATCACAGGCTTTTGCTGATACTTCTGCCGGATTCAAATTTACAACTCGCATCGTAGTTTTCCGCCGACCCCTCTGATACTCTATGCCGAACATTTCGTCTATATAGCTTACCCAGGCAACTAGCTAATTAGGCATAGTTAAAAGCCAATAATATCTGATGATCCATTTCTTCATAATATGTATACACATCTATTTCCTATTTCTATAAATATATTAGTAGGACTATATAGTATCATCACAATTATGTTTTTTTTGCTTTCAGTCTACTCTTATCAGTTCCTAGCCGTCAATGGTATCTTTAACGCAATCCTGAGCCTCTTCCAAAATGCTATTTACAGTTCTAAAGTAAGTTCAAGATGGCATTATGATCGGCATTTTCAAATATCAATGAAGCTAGACTTCATTGATCCTTGCTGACGCTGTTCACACACGAGTGTTAGTAGTTGATATCATTTTTCATATATCTTTTTGCCATAATGCATCACATATAGGCACGATGTTTGTATATGCCTATGATCAAGTTTATTGGAACCTTCTGATCATATCGGCACGCTTGTATGAGCTTGCATACGTTCTATTAACGAAAAATAATCTGTATTGGTATCCATAATGAATAAGTTTTGGGGACTATCAATGGATCCTGGATAAAGAACATATTCACCCTAAATCGCATAAATGTTATTTGGAAATAACATTACCTTAAAATTCATAGTTTCCCTATGGCCAACTAGAACCCGTTGCTGTGTGTATTAGTAGCCACGTGCTGATAAATCTACGCTACTCTGCCCAGGTTCTTTTTCCGCTTGGAGTGCTGATGAAACCAAGGCGGGCTCGAAAATGCAGTCCACTCTGGCTAAGAATATCCTATGAAAGGCAGGGTTAAGCAAATTCAATGACGTTGTGAAATATAATCTTATGATTACAGGATTCAACGATCAGACTTATGCTACCTAGAAGTAATATAGTCCTTTGTCTTGGTAGGCTGCACTTCTGTCTTAGAGTTCGATTTATATTTGATTAAATTTATATTACGGTTGCTATTTACGATATTCTGGTAATTATAAAGCAAATATATAACGCTTATATTAGTGTTCCTCAGTCTGCAGATCTAATCAGCCATATCACAATTACCTATCCTGCATGTTTGCATCAAAAGTTATTTCGAATTTAACCTAGTGTGGCTAAGTACTTTTTTACTGTTGAGGTTTTATATATTGCGTTCTATTCTATCTCTAATTTTCTTTTTATTCACTTTAATATTTATCTCTTGATCCACTTCTTTTGATTTCTCGAATGAAAGTCTGATTTTTATATCTCTTATAGGATGATATTAAGCCCAGTTGTCAGAGAATTTTGCAGTCTTTTTCCGAGCAGTCCTCCGATCCTGCCTTGAAGTCATTCAATCTTCTTATTGAAGCTTTAGGTTTTCTCCAAGATGTGCTTGCCTACGCTTTGTTGGCCCAACGTAAGTTCCCGATTTATTAAGCATATTTTTATGTGAATCCACCTATTTGATGATTTTTGCTTTTGCTCTGTGGCAGAAGAAGCCAATGTGGCCTGTTTTTATTCTTGTATAATCATAATTTGCGGTTAAGAGAACCAAGTGAATTTTATAAAAAGAACAGTTCATTAAATTTAGTTGAGAACTTAGCACTTGCTTGATATAACGGGTTTAATATTGTTTCCCCTTTAGTTCATGTGCATTCTATCCGCATCTTAGGTATAGTAGGCGTTGTAGGGCACTGGCTCCAATCTTAATGAGGATATTTTTTGATCGCTTTAAATCGTTTTTAACTTTGATTTTAATCTCAAATTTTTACTGTACCGATGTTTTATTATATCTTGTTTTACTTTGCAGCCTCTACAACCAATCAGATTTGGAAGAGACTGCTAAAAAGCGGCCTGTTTCTCGCTGAGTCTTCACGTTCACTCCCATTGACTGTCGCTCTTCCTATATTGACTGGAATTGATCTTTTTGTCGCTGGCTCCCGAAAGGTATTTAATGCGGATATCCTTGCTAAAGATAACTATTTACTGGCTAACTTTAGATCACCACCGATGCTTCCGTTGGACAATATCCATATCTCTCTGGTTACCAATCAATATCTTAACAGAAGGGAGATTCATGCCGTCATTGCTAGACAAATTTCTGCTACACATTGCAAAACGACTTCCATTGAAGATTTGAATAAGATTGGACAGACTATTTACATGTTTTTATAATTGAAATTTGTCACTATTATGTCACATAAGGCGATATTTTGCCTGATCAATTAATCTAGCATTAAGGTATTCCCTTAAATAAGAAGGAACACACTGTATTTTTCTCATTTATACCTTTCTAGGGTAAGTGATAACATCAATAAGAATTTTATCCATCATATGTTGTATAAAGTGATTATCTGACAGCCAAATTTTCTCACACTGATATGAGTAGGCCTCAAGGCCAGATGGCATTGCCTCTTAAAAGATATTCCGATTCAGAATTTACTGCAGTTTCGACTTTGCTTCGGTCTCAGCACTCCAAACGGGAATCACACACGAGCCGTGCACGGCAAACGTATATTAGCCATTATGATCCACGATTTTACCTATACTCTAAATAGGGATATAGATTTCGATACTTATCTTAGGTCTTAAATAACAATTATGGTTCCCGATGATACCTACATGAGATCGAAACTGCGGTCAGTCCTAGATGCGATTACTTTTAGGGACATACTCCACAAGAATATATATAATTATTTTTCTTATGTATCGTATTTTCCGGCGTATAAGACGACCCCCAGTTAAAATATAGATTTTTTAAGGAAATAAGGGGCAC